CTCTCCTTCCCTCCCTTCCCTTCCCCTCCCCTCCTCTCCTCTCTCCTTCCCTCCCTTCCCTTCCCCTCCTCTCCTCTCCTCTCTCCTTCCCTCCCTAACCCTCCCCTCCCCTCCTCTCCTCTCCTCTCTCCTTTTTTTCTTTGGCATTCAAGTAAAGTAAGATCAAACCATCCTGAGAAAATGCTTTCATTTTTCTCTACTGATCTTCAGGTTAGGCTAGTTTTGTGCAAATGGGAGCTACATTTTACTCTGCAGCCTTTGCTGGTATGTAGGAGTATTATTAAATTAAAAGCCAAGTATAGTAGAAGAATGGTTTTTAAGTGACCAAGCAGGCAAAGGCCCTAGTCTAAGCTGGGAAGTAAAAATTCATCAGATAATGACAAGCCACTTCCATAATTCTCCCAAGATGGTATTTTTGTGCATGGTAGCATCCCTATAGCTACCAAGATTTGAGTTTGATTCATTGGACTCTTCATTTGAAAATATCGAGCTTGTATAATGATGTCCACACAAAGACATAATTAGATACCTACATGAATAGGTATCTATTAGATACCTATTAGACATAATTAGATACCTACATGAAATTTTAGAGGTCCTTAATTTCTTCTAGAGAAGACTTTTATTACCTGTCGAAGTAGGAAAGCCCATGAGGAAATGTCTACTTACAGCAATTGTTACCACTGTGCGGTCTGCAAAGGCGGTCATTACAACTTTTTGTAGAATGTTTTCCTGGAAAAATAAAAACGGGAGTTACCAAAGAACATCCCTGAGATTTTTCGCAAATTAATTTTATCGGGAGTAGTCTTCTAGCTTTGAGAATGTCTTTTGACTAGGCCAAACCACTTTATTTGGAGGTCTGCAAGGTTAGGTGAGCATCTGTCAAGCAGGTGGTCACTCAAACCACTCATCCTGTTGTCCATGGAGAATCTCAAATCACCCAGGTCATGGTTGTCTCACAGGTGCTTTTCCAAAAGACAACTGAACTTTTGTGGGTTTTTTTCCCCCTTGAAAATGTTTAGCTTTTTCAGTTCTTCAGAAATTTCTTGGACGAGAAGCAAAATGTTTTCAAGAGAAAAAAACCAAGAAAATCCAATTGCCTTTTGGAAAAGCATCATTGGGATACTCATCCTGTTGGGTCACAAAAAATGTCTACATCAGGGGTGTCCAAGCTTAGCAACTTTAAGACCTGTGGACTTCAACTTCCAGAATTCCCCAGTCAGGTCATAAAGTCGCCAAGTTTGGATACCCCTGGTCTACAGCAACAGAAAAATTGGGGTGCCCTCATAGTCCATGTCCAGAAGTTTTTATTTATTTATTTTATTTATTTATTATTTGGATTTTTATCCCGCCCTTCTCCTTACGGACTCAGGGCGGCTGACAGCCTAGTAAAACAAATACAAAATAGGAAATACCCACTTTAAAACCTAATTAAAATGAAATATTTAATATGGCCTATGTCAATTTTAAAATTATTCTTAAGTTGACCAGACTGACCAATGAATTTTCATCAAAGTTCTTGTTAGGACTCATGTTTCGCCATGACCAAGAGCATCCATTAAAATGAGAGGACCCAGGGTGGACTTCATGACACATTCATCAATTTATCTCTGCTCTCATTCTCAACATATTCTGCTTGAAATGAAGGCTTCGTTCTGCCTCGGAGCGAGGCCATCTTGGGACTTCATCTCATTGACCCTTGAGTGGATTGATCTCTGTTTGGCTTACTAATGAAAAATTCCTCAGTGCCCTTCTGTCTAAAGTTGGAAGAAGGGAAATAGACCTGGAACCACTGTTTGTCAGATGCAAAAAGTCAGGAACCAAGACAGAGTTCAAAAGCAATAGAAGTTTATTTCATGCTACCTATACCCAAGAATTTATTGATAGTCAAGGCGAATTGGCACCAGATAAGAGTCAATGGACTTCAAGAGGGGTTGGACTTGAGTTTCTTCCAGAGACGTAGAGATTCTAAACTAATGATGCATTTGACCCCGCCCTCAGGTTTAGACTGGTCGTCCCCTATAGTGTTCTACCAAAGGAGTCCCTTTTTTTAAAAAAAAAGTTCAGTTACAAAGAAAATATGAGTAACCAAGGACCACAGGAAAGTACACCTACTTACTGTGGCCATATCAATGGAAGCGGTGGCTTCATCCATAATGAGGATACTGCTCTTACGTACAAAAGCCCGGGCCAGACAGAAGAGCTGTCTCTGGCCAACGCTGAAGTTCTCACCACCTTCAGTTACAACAGCATCTGGGAATGGGACAGAATCAAAACAAGGTATCTGAAAAGCTGTCTCAGCCAAATGGGACTAGCCTTCCTCCCTCACACCAGTGGAAGAGGCCTGCTATGGATCCCATCTGCTGAGGAATTCTGTTGAGTGGGGTCAAGGAGAAGAGCCTTTTTCGCTGCGGCCCTGTGGAACATTCTACCACCAGAGGTGAGAATTGCTCCTATCCTTTTGGCCTTCCAGAAGGGTATTAAAACTTGGCTTTGCTGGTTGGCTTGGGACCCTGAGGGGGGTGTTCACTGCTGGAGATGGTTGATGGGGCAAGAAGATCCCATCCCAGTGCTGTCAATCATCAGAGAGGCAAGAGTGACTGCAATTCCTTTCCAAAGGTGCCACTTGGTCATAAACCAAGTTTGCTACATCTCAGATTAATCTCCTGACAACACTGAACAACCCAAAGATTGCTGTGTGCTTGTCGGCTGAACAGGTCAACAGGCCTAGATTATCACTAAAAGTTGTTCTGATATACCCACCTAGTCCACCAGGCAGGGCCTTGACCATGTTCTTCAACTGAGCAATCTCCAAAGCTTCCCAAAGGGTATCATCTGTACATTTGCACTCTGGATCCAGATTAAAACTATGGAAAAATACCAAACCAAACCACATCGCTCAATAGGTATGACTTGTGAACTAGAAATTGAATTAACGTCTCAATTTTCTGGATAAAGCCATTGATTCAGTCAATTGTTGATCCACTGGGTCTAATCTCTAGTATGTGTTTTCCTCTAGCCCAGGGGTAGGCAACCTTGGCTCTTTTATGACTCATGGACGTCAACTCCCAGAATGCTGGCTCAGAAATTCTGGGAGTTGAAGTCCACAAGTCATAAAAGAGCCAAGTTGCCTACCCCTGGGCTAGCCCATCTGTTTGTCTTGGCTACTTAAAATAGACAAATCAATTATGTGTACAGATAGCCCTTGACAGTTCATTTAGTGGCTGTTCAAACTTACAAGGGCACTTAAAAAGTGACTTATGATTCTGACCATTTTCCACCCTTATGAGTGTTGCAGCCTCCCCATGGTCACATGATCTAAATCCAGACACTTGGCAACTGACTTATATTTATGACAGTTGCTCAAGCAGGAGACCCTATGCCATTCCAGACAAGTGGCTGTCCAGTCTCTTCTTAAAAATCTCCAGTGATGGAGCACCCACAACTTTTGATGGTAAGCCATTCCGCTGATTAATTGCTCTGTCCTCCAAAATCCCCAACTTCAACTTCTCTATCACATCATGCTTGAGCAGGGGGTTGGACTAGAAGACCTCCAACATCCCTTCCAACTCTGTTATTATCGTTCACCTCATCCACTAAGATCTCAAAATGTCCAGTGTAGCCTCTGGTATCAATAATCAATTATACTGCAGTCAAGACTGAAGGCAGCGTTGCATTAAAATGTCCACTTTTGTGCTCCTAGAGTCAATTAGTATCTCAACCCCGCCCCACCCCCCCCAAAAATCCACCTATTGTACACCCAAACGAATGAAGTCTGTTGAATTTACAGAAAACACTGGATTAGTATCATGACAATGCCTGTGAGGAGTCATGTGAATGCTACATTTCCAGGCACTGTTGCACAAAACTGAGCAAGCTCATACCAGGGTCTGTCCATGCCAGAATATTCTGGTAAGCTTTCCATTTTTAGCAATTGGAGCTGTAAGCAATAGCATTCAAAAGCACACACAGAAAAGGACCTGATGCATTCATTGCAAGGACCGGATCTGGGAAAATCTCTGCTCTTCCAAATTCCTGGGTCCATCAAAACAGCTAATTTTCTGACCTACCGAATCGAACCACTGAACAAGATAGGATCCTGGAGGATTATGGAGAGCCTGGAACGCAGCAGATCGAGAGGCAGCTTTGTAATGTCAATGCCATCAATGATAATCCTCCCTGTTTGAAACCATTGGGAGCAAAACAAAAGAGTTGAGCTGCAAAACAAGCAGAACGCTCAGAAATTTCCAGAAACATGGCTGGGATCCTGGAAGAAATCCCTTGAAATTTCAAGGGGTCAGCCGGAAACGAGAATATCCCCATACGACTAGAAATTGGGGAATATGCAAATAAATAATTGCATGATATTTTAATCCTTTGGAAATAATTTTTCCCAAAATGCCATGGCTTAGTCTGTGCCCTACAGCTGCAGTTTGCAGTGGAGAATATCATGATGTCCATTTGAACCCCACTCATTGACAATCAGTAAATTAATGAATGAAGGAAGGAAGGAGGGAGGGAAGGAAGGAAGGAAGGAAGGAAGGAAGGAAGGAAGGAAGGAAGGAAGGAAGAAAGAAAGAAAGAAAGAAAGAAAGAAAGAAAGAAAGAAAGAAAGAAGGAGACAGAAGAGAAGAAAGAAGGGATGGATGGATGGAAGGAAAGGATGGATGGATGGCAGGAAGGAAGGAAGGAAGGAAGGAAGGAGACAGAAGAGAAGGAAGGGATGGATGAAAGGAAGGAAGGAGACAGAAGAGAAGGAAGGAAGATCGAAGGAAGGAAGGGAGGGAGGGAGGGAGGAAGGAAGGAAGGAAGGAAGGAAGGAAGGAAGGAAGGAAGGAAGGAAGGAAGGAAGGAAGGAAGGAAGGAAGGAAAAAATGTGACCAAGAAATGTGACCTACTGTATGGATTATGAAGAGATGGCAAAAATAGCTTTTATTGCTCATGACAAGATCTGGGTAATTTTTTGGTTTTTCCTCTGTCTCTCCCTCTCTTTTTGTCTTTTAGTCTTTTCTGGTATAACTCAGCCGAGCCATAAAGTGCAAGAAATTAAGGAATGATAGCCCTTAGTGGCCACTAACACAGCAATTAGAAGCATCTCCTTTAGAATTACCACTGAATATCCTTTTACAAAGCATGAGTGGAGCTCAGCTGTATGAATTGTGTTTGCTTTCTATGGTTCTCTGGCTTTTGGGAGGCTCAAACGGAAAAAAAATTGGGACGCATGTCAAGAGGCAGAAAAGTCATAGAAGACGTTCAAAGCCTTCCCAGTCTAAATTCTTCCTAAACACAAAAAAGAGATAACTGGACGGATCCAGCTGAGAATTAGAAATAAAAAGGACCCACACCTCCTCTGGTTTTGTCTGTTGCCTTTCTCTTTTCCCCTAAAGGCAAAACTTTGAGAGCATAGTGCATGATTAACGAGCTACTAAAGGGATAATTTATGACGTGTTGAACTGTGAGAGAAGAGAAACAGCAGCGGTTAATGCAGCTGAACTAAACCAGCCAGGCAATAAAATTTCCATCCTTTGGTTTCTTGTCTGTTTTATGCCTTCTTCTTTGGTGATGGGCCACGCATGGCTGTATCTGCAGGCTACAAACGATCAGCAATAGTGTAGATGAACATAGGGGGCGGGGAGGAAGCAGAGAATCATGGATAAGGAGATTATATTTCCCAAGGCAGTGATTCTCAACCTTGGTCAATTGAAGATGAGTGGACTTCAACTCCCAGAATTCCTGGGGAATTCTGGAAGTTGAAGTCCACCCATCTTTCAAGGGATTGAGAAACACCATCCCAAGGAATCTGTAGCTAGCAGAAGCAAGAGGTTCACCAGCTCCTTGGTGAGTCTCTGGATGTGAGCCCCGAAGGAAGGGATGGGTACTGATTTGTTAGCCAGTCCAGTCACAAAATAGCAGAGGGGAAGGAGATAAATCTTCACACAATCTGCGCAACCTGATTCTGGATCACAATGGGAGGTGCACGGAGCAGAAACCCCAAATATAATGAGGGCTGTTTCAAGCATTTTAGAAATGATTTTAGGACACACACAAAAACCCCTCTATCTCAAGGTTGGAACACTTAGTACTTAAGATAATTCATTATGAACTCCAAACGAAATATTTTGAAATGAGAGCAGTTCAAATCCCAAACGTTGCGCATATCCCGAAGTGCAACTGATTGGGGCAGCCCGCTCAGCATGACCAACTTGCAGCAGCACAACACTCCCTGTGGGACAATTCAACAATTCAATGTAAGTATTTAAAATAATTTAAAAATATATATTTTGTCATTCACCTTTCATTTTAAGAATTTCAGCTTCACGGTTTTATTTAATTATTGAAAACAGTTAAAAAAAATATTTTAGTTTTTGTCCTTCGCATTTCATCCTTTTGCATCCTTCCTTTAATGATTCTGTTCCACCATTTCTTTGATATTAATGTAATGTAATGACAAGTTGGTTGTGCTGCGTCCGGTTGTCCTAGACCGGATTCAGACTACTTACCATCAAATATGTCTACCATTCTGAAGAAAGCCAACGAAAGGGAAGATTTCCCACTGCCGGTGCGACCGCAAATCCCAACCTGAAAGATGAAATTTATTGTGGCTTTTTATATGTAGCACTTAGTGTGGTAACGATAAGTAGTTATTGCTTAATGATAATTAAAAAGAAGATACCTTCCCCCTCAATATGAGGTAACTTAAAACAAATATTAAGACTTCCCTTACTTCATTTCTCTCTGTCTGTCTCTTTGCAAATAGCGATAAAGGTAGTCCTTGATTTACAACCACAATTAGGTCCAGAATCATGCCCAATTTTACAACCTGGTTTTGCCATGGCTATTAGTAGCAATAGCGCTTAGACTTATATACCGCTTACATAGTGCTTTACGGTTCTCTCTAAGCCAGGGGTAGGCAACCTTGGCTCTTTTATGACTCGTGGACTTCAACTCCCAGAATTCCTGAGCCAGCATGGCTCAGCTTGGAAACCTCTCCCTTTCCCCTCAGCATGGCTGGCTCGGGAATTCTGGGAGTTGAAGTCCACGAGTCATAAAAGAGCCAAGGTTGCCTACCCCTGCTCTAAGCGGTTTACAGAGTCAGCCTATTGCCCCCAACAATCTGGGCCCTCATTTTACCGACCGTGAGAGGATGGAAGGCTGAGTCAACCTTGAGCCAGTCAGGATCGAACTGCTGGCAGCGGCAGAGTCAGCAGAATCAGCCTGCAATATTTCTAACCACTGTGCCACCACGGCTCTTAATTGCAGTCATTAAGCAAATCTAGCTTTCCCCACTGACTTTGCTTGCTGGAAACTGGCTGGGAAGGTTGCAAATGGTGATCACATGACCCCAGGATGCTGCAACCATCATAGATACACAATGATCGCCAAACACTCAAATTCTGGTCATGTGACCATGGGGCTGCTGCGACAGTTGTAAGGGCGGGGATAGGTCGTAAGTCAAAGCAGTCGTTAAATGAATGGTTGTAACTTGAGGACTACCTCTCACGAATCACAAATTCTAGATATGGATAAATACTAGAGTCCACCGATGCTAAAGTTTCTGCGAGCAAGATATATTTAGCTCCTTTTTGATACCAAATCATCTTCAACAATGGATCCTTCATTCCCCTTTTTTTGCCAGAAAGCCTGTGAAAAAGCGTAAAATGATTGTAAGACTGCGGAACCTTTTGTCCTGGTTTGATGTACGCTTTAATGTGCTTGAGAACCGGCTTCAGGTTATTCTCATAGCGGACGCACAGGTTTTCGATCTTGATTTCACCTTCTTGGGGCCAGTCTTTGGGCACTTGAGAGCTATCTGAGGGAAAGATCAAAACAGAAGCATCCTGATTGGTGCAATTCTTTCCCAACGGTGTCCATTTTAAAACTCAATTTAACGTTACTGTTTATTGTTTTAAGGTTTGAGTGTTTCAGAGTGGTGTTTCACTGATTGTAAACTGCCTAGCATCACTTTTCGTTGGGTTGGGCGACATATAAGTTAAATGAATAAATACAATTACTATGCAAGAGAAAATTTTCTGATGCTCTGAGGGGAGAGCCACTTTGCCCTAGGCCAGGGGTAGGCAACCTTGGCTTTTTTATGACTCATGGACTTCAACTCCCAGAATTCCTGATCCAGCATGGCTAAGCATGGAAACCTCTCCCTTTCCCCTCAGCATGGCTGGCTCAGGAATTCTGGGAGTTGAAGTCCACGAGTCATAAAAGAGCCAAGGTTGCCTACCCCTGGCCTAGTGGTTAAGGTACCAGGCTAGAAAGCAGGAGATTGTGCATTCAAGTCCCACCTTCGCCCTGAAAACCAGCTGGGTGACTTTGGGCCAAACACCAGAAGACTCTGAGTTCTAGTCCTGCCTTAGCCCTGAAAACCAGCTGGGTGACTTTGGGCCAATCGCCAGGAGACTCTGAGTTCTAGTCCTGCCTTAGCCCTGAAAACCAGCTGGGTGACTTTGGGCCAATCACCAGAAGACTCTGAGTTCTAGTCCCACCTTAGTCCTGAAAACCAGCTGGGTGACTTTGGGCCAAACACCAGAAGACTCTGAGTTCTAGTCCTGCCTTAGCCCTGAAAACCAGCTGGGTGACTTTGGGCCAATCACCAGAAGACACTGAGTTCTAGTCCCGCCTTAGCCCTGAAAACCAGCTGGGTGACTTTGGGCCAATCACCAGAAGACTCTGAGTTCTAGTCCCACCTTAGTCCTGAAAACCAGCTGGGTGACTTTGGGCCAGTCATCCTCTCAGCCCAAGCCATCTTACAGGACTGTTGTTGTGGAGAAAGTAGGAGGAGGAAGGTGTGTTGGATATGTTCACCAACTTGAATTATTTGTAAACATAATAAAGATGGGACACAAATGAATATGTAAACAGGCATCCATAATAAAGAAATTCATCTGAAAAGTAGACAACGTGACACAAAGTTAATAAGAGCCTCCTGACTCAGCCAGGCTGCCTCTCCAGATAAAGTGATTTTGCTGGTTTACGCCAGTTATGAAGAACATGGACCAAACAGAGCAACATCTGGAGTGACAGCATCTTCCACAGACGAGCTGTGTTAGAAGATGGCAATTCGTCATGAAGAGTCAACTTTGTTTTGCTAATACCAAGAGTAGTAGCCATGTGAGATTTATTTACTTTCCACAAATTGGCTTACTCTGAGGTCAAATCTCAAGGCAGGTTACTTGCAACAGTGTTAACGCAAAGTAAACAAATCAGGCTGCTTTTTAAACTTGTAGCATGACTCAAGTCTGACCTCAGTCCACTTCATGGCTGACCGAGGTCATGCTTCCCTTTTATTCAGTAGCTGGCAAATGAAGACAAATGTACTGGTTCTTCTCCAGCCACAAAAAAAAAGGGATTAGATTATAATTAGATTATAATTGCTCTTTAATATTGTCGAGGCTGCCTGATTCCACAATGACTTTCAGCAGCTCACAAATTTGAAAAGAATTGAAAAGAAAACATCCCAACCCAAGACTAGGAGAACAACCGGGTGTTTAACAATTTATGAAGAATCAGTACGGTGGGAACAATATGGATCTGCAAGGGCAGGCTCTCCAAACTTGGCAACGTTAAGACTTGCAGACTTCAGCTCCCAGAATTCCCCAGCCAGCATGGTTGGCTGGGGAATTCTGGGAGTTGAAATCCACAAGTCTGAAAGTTGCCAAGTTTGGAGACCCCTGTCCAAGGAGAAGTCATTCTATTGGCCAGGAATAATCACAAAGGAGACATACTTCCTGAATCCCACAATATGACATTGCTTAATCCACAGGATCTGGAACGTGCCCCATTCTAGCTGACCTTCCTGGACAGGTGGAAACATATGGAGACATGTGATCTCTTAAGGAGGCAACACTTTTGCCATGATGTATTTGTTATTTTGGGCTGTAAACTTCGAAATGATCCATCATTCCTGACTAGGACAGACCATCTGCATTACATAGAATAACAGATAGAATAACAGAGTAACAGAATTGGAAGGGACCTTGAAGGTCTTCTAGTCCAACCCCCTGCTCAAGCAGAAGACCGTCTACCATTCCAGACAAATGACTGTCCAGCCTCTTCTTGAAAACCTCCAGTGATGGGAGCACCCACAACTTCTTGTTGTGATTAATTGTGAGAACTGTCAGGAGATTTCTCCTTAGTTCTAGGTTGGTTCTCTCCTTGATTAGTGTTAGGATATTAAGTTTAGTAGATGGAATAGTAAAATTGTTCAATGGGCCAGAACACACAGTTGTTGCTGATTGGTTGGAGAGTGCTGACTCATGCATGAGGCAATCTGCGTTATGATTGGTTGCTGTGAGTATAACGGGGGAGTTTCCCTTTTTCCCCGCCTTTTTCTTCTGTGTGCTCGGTGTGCAGGTTACGTTTTACCTCACGATGTTCCTGTGTATCTGACTATTTTGTCGGGTGTAAATATAAATGTTACACATATTTATTTATGTAAAACTACAAGTTCGCCTCTGACTTCATTTGGACACTTGCTGCGCAATTCCCTGACAATTAGTTTCCATCCATTGCTTCTTGTTCTGCCTTCAGATGCTTTGGAGCACCTTTGGTTGACCCTCTCTTCTTTGTGGCAGCCCCTCAAATATTGGAAGACGGCTCTCATGTCACCAAGTCATCAAGTTGACTTGCTGCCTCTAAATAGAAGTGATACATTTCACTATAGACTCTGCCATAGAGGGAGAGTCTCCAAAGGACCTCTGATATTTGGGTGCCCATCAATTCCAGCTATTCAGATGGATTTCAAATATTTGGTCAGCAGACTCTACCGGGTTTTGCCCGTTAAAACAACATCAGTAATGCCATATACCTATGGTGCCTTCATAATTCTCGGACTCCATGTTGAGAAAGCTGTTCACTTTCTTCACGGCCCCCATTTGCACTTCCATATCAGCCAGATTTCGCACGACCCAGTTCAGATAGTTGGTGATCTATAAAGTAAAAAGGAAAGAGGGGCAAAAAAAATGAAAAGATGGCATTTGGGAAGGGACAGAATCTTGATATGGTTGGAACAACGTGAATCCATCAAGATACTATCCGTCAAGATACTATTCCTTTGGAGAAGGTGTAGGGTGCTCATTGTATGGTTGGGAAGAACAATCTCCAAGGTTTTAGAATGTTGTTTGACCATCTACAGTGCATCCTAGTAAAGGAAGAGAAGAAGGGTGGAAAGAAAGAAAAAGGGATGAAAAGAGAAGGGAATGAGAAGGGACAGGAGGGGACAGGAGCGGAAGGGGCAAGGGGAGGGGAGAGGAAGGAGCGAGGGGAGCGAGGGAAGAAAAGAAAGAAAAGGAGAGAAGAAAGAGAAGAAGGGGAGAGGGGTGGGAGGGGAAAAAAGGAGAGAAGAAAGAAGAAGGGGAGGGGAGGAAACAAAGAAGAAGGGAGGAAGAGATAAGAGGAAGGAGAGGAGAGGAGAGGAGAGAAAAGGAAAGGAAAGGAAGAAAAGAAAAGAAAAAGGAAAAGAAAGGAATAGAATAGAATAGAATAGAATAGAATAGAATAGAATAGAATAGAATAGAGCAGAGCAGAGCAGAGCAGACAGAACAGAACAGAATAGAATCTTAGTAGCTCTTCTCTGATTTTTTTCCAAACTCTCAACATCTTTTTTGTGATATGGTAACCAAACTTGGCTGCAGTATTCCAGGTGTGGTCTTACTAGGGTTTTATAAAGTGGTACTACTACCTCGTGTGAGAGGAAATTGACAGTTAAGCTGTGAATTTGGGAAAGTTAAACCCCGGTGATCAATCTACTCTAGTCCTTGCATGTACGTTTCTCTTCCTTTCCTTGGGAGCATGGAGGGCATGGGAATTTCAGTGACTTTATTATTATTATTATCATCATCCTCATTTTTTCAGTTGGCTCAAAGGACTTGAAGCTGCTCCAAGTTGTTCTGAACTCTTTCAGCCCTGGCTGAAATCCAGGACTGCAAGATTGTTCCTGTCAGTTTTGGGAACCTTGAGAAGCAGCTGCATATCCAGAGGGCTTCTCATGGGGGCTGTGACCCCGAGGAATTGGTTGCAAAGAAAATAACTCTGCTGTGTCAAAATTAAATGATACTGGATCTTGCAGGGCTCTTATGCTGGTCACACAATGGACCTTCCTTGAATAAAATACCCANCTTTTCCGGTCCATAATCCTTCAATGGGAATTGTAATCAAAACATCTGGAAGGACCTTGATTGGACAGAGCCATTATAGACCTTCTTAATGCTGAGAAGCAATTGTTTGAGGATCATTCCATTGTTTCAATTATCCAAAACACTCCATGTTGAACTGGCCCCATGGGTACAACCCCAGGAAGATTTTAGATTGGGAGCTACCATGACCACAGTAACAGATGTTGAACCTCAATCATGATCTACACAAGTACAGAAAGACAGTTTTCAGACAATGTGGCCTGGCAAACCACCATGGGGAAGTGGAGGTCAACTTATACAGTCCTAGTGTGCATATTATTTTATACACAGAGATTATTCCAAATAATAATATGCTTAGGGCATATGAGCTGGGCCACAAAGAAACATGTGGAAGCATTTCTTCAGATATTATAAACAAATATGGAAGGTATTTGTAAACATTAATTTGAAACAGGAAGTAAGTCCTGTGAACCAGTTTTCAAGAGAAGAATCTTGGGTCATCAACAGTCAGAGGGATTCCACTGAAAACATTGTCTATTCATTGAAGCAAATTCATTCTAGGGTCCAGCAGAAGTAGGTAGTGAGAATTTGCCAGAATAACAGAGTTGGAAGGAATCTTGGAGGTCTTCTAGTCCACCCCCCCTGCTCAAGCAGGAGACCCTATACCATTTCAGACAAATGGTTGTCCAATCTCTTCTTAAAAACCTCCAATGATGGAGCACCCTCTAATCTAGCAATATGCTATCGTTTTACTGTAAAGCCATGTCTCAATCTCAAAACAACCTAACATTCTGAAGCCAAGCAAATGAAATAGCTCCAATTATAGTTTTAGTTGGGGAATTTACAATGGAATGTATGGGCCCCAAATGTGCAAAGAAACCTACATGGTTTCTTCCAGGATGATGGTCTATCAAACAAATAAAAAAAATGGCTTAATTCAGAATTGAACACAATCGGACAAGTGAAGTCCATATGTTCATAAGGAATAATTTTCCAGATTTTCTCATTTCTGCAAAATTAACTATATGCCTTATATTCCAGAAATTTATTTATTTATTTATTTATTTATTTTATTAAACTTATATGCCGCCCTTCTCCCAACAGGACTCAGGGCGGCTTACAGCATATTAAAACGATACAAACACTATCCCCAATAAAAACCAATTAAAAACAAATATTTACCGCTGTGTTACCATTAAAATTCTAATTAAAATTGTCCCTATTTAAAATTCTCCCT